TTTTGCTTTCTCCTCGGTTTATACTTTGAGTTGAGATCATAGATAAATAAATATGTAGCAAGCTAGGTTGAGATCTCAAAGTCCACCTGCTTCCTTACCCAATCAGTGATTGTGAGTGTGTCTGACGTAGAACGCTACACGATGTCGAAATTGCGGAAGTGTTGTGTTGTAGGTTGCAATGCCAACAACAAAACTCATCGCCTTTTTTAACTTTCCAAAGGACGATAAATTACGGGAATTGTGGTTGTCTTTCTTGGTGCCTGTTAATATTAAGCTCAGCGGCTTGTCTAAAGAACAATTGTTAAATAGATATGTGTGCCAAAAGCACTTCGACAGACAGCAGTTCGACGGTGTGGGTAACCGTCTTGCGCATGGTTATCCCTGCTTATTTACTGCAAGGGAAATGATGCACGGTATTCCCTTGGACTCTTCAAGTAAGTTGATTTTAAGTAATAGATATTTGTGTTACTAACTGACGTATCAATTACAATGTTTTAATTTTCTGTTAGTTGATAAGCCGAATAAAGTTTATAACTTTGTGTATTTTTTTCTAGCTGCCCACGCTCTGAGTGATCACAACTATGGTTTACCAATAGCTGTCCTAGAAGATTCAAATGATTTCACTACTAATACCGTAATCAACTGTGAGTGTGAATAACATTATTTTTATATAGAAGTAATTTCCGTCTTTTTAAGACTAACATTTCTTAAAACTATTGCTTTAAGGGTTAAACTATAGACGTTCGGTACTCGCGTACGGTGTTGGGAGGGGGAGGGGAGGGGCCATGGGCCCCCCGACCCTTCCCCCGTTGTGGAAATGTGTAGTTTATGAGTAATATTTTTTCGTAAATTTATAACCTCACTTTTTTATACAGGAATATTGACAAGAAGTTACTTCTGCAGCGGCCGTACAGTGTTGGGAGGGGGAAGAGGGGAGGGGGAGGGTTGTAGAAAGCACCCCCTACCCTTCCCCCATTGCTGAAATGTATAGTTTATGAATAATATTACAACATTAAAAATTAAAAATCAAGTACCAGACATCTACCTCATAATATGAGAACAAATTGACATATTTGCTTTTCGTTATTACACAATTTTTAGTGAAATTTGTTTTTATCGTAATTAATTCAAAACGCATTTCCGCCATCTAAAAACAGTGTAATAGGTTCAAGCTTAACCCTAACAAGCCTCCTAGACTAAAAACATTATCAAAATCAAGTACAGGATATCTATAGCCAACACGCTTTGAGTACATAATAACTAATTTCCCACTGTTAAAGTATATTTTTAGTTAAATTAATCTTTTTTTCAGCACAAGACCACATTAGTGATCATAATTATGTTTTGGAATGTAATGTTGAAAAGGGGCCACCAATTGAAGAACCTACAAATTCTAAATCTGATGTTAGGTAACAATAATAACCATGTATTTAATTTTATATGTTTATTAATAGTAATAATACCTCATGTTCAGTAGTCCCATGTAAACCTCACGCAATTTAACTTGGCTGTGCAGATATATATTTTTAGGAACACAATGGTAACAGGAGGTGTGGGTTTTTTTTACAACAAGTTTTAGAAACCAAGTTGAGTTTGCCTATATAATGCACACAAAGTTGCAGAAGAAAGCTTATGTGACAGCTTTTGATAAGAACCTACAAATTCTAAAACTGATGTTAGGTAACAATAATAACCATGTATTTAATTTTATATGTTTATTAATAGTAATAATACCTCATGTTCAGTAGTCCCATGTAAACCTCACGCAATTTTTACTTGGCTGTGCAGATATATATTTTTAGGAACACAATGGTAACAGGAGGTGTGGGTTTTTTTTAACAAGTTTTAGAAACCAAGTTGAGTTTGCCTATATAATGCACACAAAGTTGCAGAAGAAAGCTTATGTGACAGCTTTTGATCTTTAATATGTCTATCTTATTTTTTTCTTGATGATTTCATTCTGTTTTTAGGACACACATGTGTTACTGACACACTACAAATAATGAAACCTGTAGAAATTGTGCCAAACCTCTCTATTGCATCATCAAAGGCAGAATCAAGAGGTATTTTTAAATCTTTTATTTCATTTTTAACATATTTTTATAATCTCCTCACCCATAAAACCAGGCACCTCATAATCAGCAGTTGCAAATAATTTAAAGACAGACAATAAAATTGACTCTATATGACATTTTTTTTACTAATTTCAGATATGATTCGCAATGTTGAGCAAAATCAAAAAAGAAATTCACCAAAAAGAATTAAATGTGGAGGTAAAGCATTTTGTAACGCATACCTCATAAGAGCTAGTTATAGAATAATATGCACTAACTAGCTGTGCTAGTGACTTCGGTCGCATAGAATCTTTGTTAGTAGTTTATCTACAGGCATCTTCCTGCCAATTGTGACATCTATGGCAAATCACCCTCACATTGGGAGAAGTGCATGTTTTGCAGTAGACTTCTACAGGCTGATGATGATGAAGAAGAAGAGTAGTTCTAGTTTTTTTTTGACAACTTTTGGTCATAAAGTAAGGACAACTTTATATCTGCTCCTGCTAGTCGTGTTGTTTATTATCATAGGTGTTTCATTACAATAAACGTTAAAATAAACACTCAGAAATATGGTGGTTACTTTTTAATTTAATTAGAACATCTTAATTTTTGTTCTTATGATAGACATTATTTTAAAAAGAACGACTACTTAAATCTTTGATTTGATCGATATTCTAGTTCAGCATCAAAATTTTACGAAATACATAAAAAACTTCAAAAAACATTTTTATTACCATATAAGTCATTCCACTTATGATTAATGTACAATCAGCAATAATTATGAAGACAATTAGAGCACACCTTTTTGTATTACATTTGCACACACACAACACCATCTATTGATAACACTAGTGAACTGTTATAGTTTTTCATATTATTTATTATGATGGTATTATGATAATATTTGTGAGAAAACATGTTATTTTTGTTTACTTAGTTTTAGATATAAGGATTTCATTATAGAACATTCTTTCATATTAATTAATTACAATTTCTAAGATAAGGTTGAAATTCACTTAGCGAATCAACACTTTTAAACATTTTCATACCTACACTTCAAAGTACTAATCATAACTTGATAGAATAAACTGATTTTCATAACATAAGACTAAATGTTACTCATAAAAGAATAATTAATTTGAAAATAGTTGATAGAAATTTATTTACATATTTTTAGTCCCTATCAAAAAATGTATCAATGTATGTAGATAGCTTAACTAATTACTTTCTAAAAACCTATAATATCAATTGATGAACTAAATAATATAATTTTTATTATCTTTTTACAGCCAATAAACTGACCACAGACTGCAGATGCTTCATAAAAAGAATGAAAAATATTGCTGTCAAAGAAAATAAGCTTGAAAAGCCATTTTCAGAAAGATTTGATGCTGCTAAAATTCTAAGCCATAACCAATTATTTAATAAAAGTTTTGGCAAAATGACACAACAGGCACAAGATTTTCTTCTAATGCAGTTGAAAATGGCAAGTAAAAAGAAGAAAGCAATGAGGTACACCACAAATGAAAAGCTCTTGTCACTGTCCCTAATGAAGGAAAGCCCCAAAGGATAGAGACTTTTGCAAAAAAAATTTAATTTGCCTACTAAAAGAACATTGAATCGCCTTGCTGAAAACATCAAATTTAATGTGGGCTTAAATGATAATATTTTTGAGCTATAAAAGCACAAAGTTAAAAAATGGGACATGAAGAAGAAATTATGCTCTGTTTTGTTTGATGAGGTGGCTCTCACACCTCATCTCACTTATGACGAGTCACAAGATGAAATCATAGGTTTTAAAGATTTTGGAAATGAAAGAGAATTTAAATTATGCGATCATGCCTTAGTTTTTATGCTGAAAGGTGTGTGTTCAAACTGGCGACAGCCTATTGCTTACTATTTTTGTGAAGGAACAACTGCTGCTGCTGTAGTTGTATGGATTTTAAAAGAAATCATCACTAAAGTCTTGCAGTCTGGCTTGATTCCTTTAGCCCTTATATGTGATCAAGGACCTACGTTCAGAACTGCTATAGCCATGTTGAAAGAAGACACCGAACGCAAAAGAAATTTAAATGGAGAATATAATGGTAAGTAAATGAAGTCTATTTATTTATTTATTGGGGCAGCCTTACAATTGTACAATTCCAAGATGTAATAGCCAAAAAGCTACTTTGACAGCCACATTGACAAAGGAGGCTGGCCAAATTTCTATAGGAGCTGGACTTGACTTTTTTTTTCATGTCCCAAAACAAACTATAGTTAGGTTGGTTTGTTTTTATATTGTAAACACAATCACGTTTAAAAATAATATCTAAATAGCCATGATTTTTTATAATAACGTCAACAATATTTTTAAGGCTGAATCAACAAATACCTTTTACTTTTTTTATTGGCCATTTTAAATATAATATTGGTATGTCAAAATTACAATCAATACAAATGATATAAGATTACATTAGATTATTAAAATTACAAATCAAAATATATTTAGATTATTTTTACATGTCAAGCAAGTCAGGAAATGAACATTTCATATATTCTTCTATATTATAGAAAGCGTGATTCATAAAGTATGTTTTTGTCACTTGTCGAAACGAAATCTTATTTCTAAAGGCAATTTATTGTACATTTTGATTTTTAACGAAAAACCTTGCTTGGACTCTTTATCCGACTGCGACATAGCCTAATAGTGAAGTTAAAATAATTATATTACTCAATAATAGAACATCTCTCAAAGCGCACCTAGTATGGGCACATACTCCTAGAGTTCTATGTCAAATCAAAAAGGGCCGTCTGTCAAACCATCTCGTGAAGTTGACAGTTTCGACAACAAATTATGACCGATATTCAATAAAAACTACACATACATGTATTGTACTAGCTTGCACAGTATGTAGTGTAAAAACAAGGATGGCGTAATTATTATCACACGAAGTTTTTCCTAAAAGTTTTCAAGGCTTTTTTGTAGTTTGAGCATTTTAATTCTAGCTGAAGAGAGTTAGTCGCTAGATACCTACTGTCTTTCAGTCTTTAATACTAAAGTTGCATATGCATTGAAAAATCGAGTAATCGTAGGTTACAGGAATAAATGAAGTGTAATGGTAGAATTTAGGAGTACTTTAATGAAACAAGTAGGCTAGACAAAATTACTTTTTATTCATCATCCTCTCGTATATCTACAACATCAAGGAGTGATGTTGGCACTGGCAATATTGTCGGCTGATGCCTGGCCCACCCAAGGTACCACACAAGCTTCATAACATGTGCACATCACCCAACTGTCCTTCGATTCGATACCCTCTGTGAAACCTGACATGTTCACTATAATAGGACCTTGCCTGTTGAATCCATATGTTCCTAGGGCAAATAATATAACTTCATACACGCGACTTAAAACATGTTGCAGTGTTTGCTAAATAAAAATATGTGGTGGAACCATACAACAACTATTTATCACCCAATAATAAGGTATCTCTCAAAGCGCACCCTACATCTGTCCTATAAATCCAAAACATCATGTATAATATCACTGCATTTATTATTATAAAAATCTTTGGCACTTTATAAGTCCTTTCTTAAAAATAACACAGCAGATAGGTGCAGTGCGGGCCCTTTGTTTATTAAAGTATTCATTTATTAGCAAGTATAAATTCCAAACATCATTAAAATATAATGTCTTGAGATACTTACCCATTTATATTAATTATAAATCAGAAGGAGATTGTCAAATTAAAAGAGATAAACAGGGTGCCAGAGCATTAAATTCAACTTTGCTCGGTGTTTATTTATAAATTATACATATAACATAATATATAACAGAAAATACTTGTGCTTGTGTGCTTTACACAGTAAAATTGAAATAGGTAAAATAAACAACAAACACTGCAATTTTAATTGATCATTATTCATCATCATTGCGACAGTCCACTGCTGAACATAGGCCTCCTAAACTAAATATATAATGTAAAATATTACACAGGCCTTTCGTGAATTGCCACCCTGTCCCATATGGTGTTGTAAAAGTCGACAGAGTAAAATAAAAATATCAGGAGATGAGCAGTGGCATCTCCCTATAGAATACCACAAAAAACTTTGGTTGCCAGAAGTGTAGCAACTATGGCAAAAATCATCATTAATATTACAATATTAATACGCATTAAGGTTATAATCATCATTTTGTATTTTCAATATCATCACTTGATAGTAATATATCATATAAAAAAGATGCAGGTGGATCAACCTCATCTCGATGCTGTGCCCATGATAGAAACCAAACTAAAATAGCAGCTTAATGCTGCTGTGTTTCGAATGGTGAGTATAGAGAACCAAGGCAAGGCATTCTATCTCAGTCCTCAGGGCTGGTAACACATCTGCATTTTGATTTTCAATTGAAGATAAATGTAGATGTCTATAGGCCACAGCATCCACTTACCATCAGGTGCACTGTGTGCTCGTTCGTCACCTTATTTCAATAAAAAAAGAGTAAATTACTTTTTATTAAACATCCTCTCTTACAACTACAGCATCAAGGAATGCTGCAGGTGCTGGTATTGTCGGCTGATGCCTGGCCCACCCAAGATACCACACAAGCGTCATAACATGTGCACAGCACCCAACTGTTCTTCTACCAACTAAACAATTGCAGCAATACTCTATTATAGCTTCCCTTCCAGACAAATTATTTTCAATTAATATATAAACATAATATACTTTTCTCGAAATGTGTCTGGATTTGATTTTGCCTCTTATAAGTGAATTATTTCCACTTCCTCTCAAACGATACTCTGTTACATTAATGTTTTCTCTGCTTATTATTCGATACCCTCCATGAAACCTGACATGTTCACTATAATAGGACTTTGTCTGTTGAATTTGATATGTTCCTAGGGCAAATCATATAACTTCACTATATTCTAGATGGGGGAATATAATATTAGTATTGGAATGAGCTGTAATACTAGTAAAATCAGATGTTCGTCTATTCATATTTATACAGTTTATAAAATCAGATAAATTATTATTTAATAATTAATTATTATTTATTAATTATTATGTAAATGTTCTATAACTATTTTGAGAATTGAATACATACATATCCCTAACAGTACTAAATGTATGCTCTACACAAATACGAGCATTTATAGGCAAGTAATATTTGTGTTTGCTAAGAGTTGTTGCTCTTAGAGGGTTAGAAATTCTATGCAAATCTGTGTTCTGACAACCAGAAAACACAATGTGCTGCAGTGTTTCCCGCTCGTCTATACTGCGGCAAAACTAATCACCCGAGGTATTTCGTCATCTTGCTTGTCGGTATTTGGTGGGCTTTGAGGTTCTTGGGGTTGAGGCTCTGGCTCCTGCTCCAGCTCTGGCTCTGTCTGCTGCATATTACTTGTTGCAATTCTCTTGAGTCTCAGCCAACAGGGATGACAAACATGGTCTGCCTGAAACAACCATACAGCCTTGTCTTAATATAAATGTTTTGGCTAATTATTATTAAACCCGAGCAAATAGAAACACTTTTACAAAACAATATAAAATTGCAGTGATAAATTCACTATAACGTTGATACCAAGACAAAACAAAAAAAAAGTACAAAATAAAAAAGGTAATTATTACCTGCCGTGGGGCAATTCTATTTTCAAGCTCAACATGTATTGCTTGTTGCAACTGAGATGGATTCTCTCTCACAACAACATCACGTTTACGAATCCTCAGAGAACTTCCACAAAGTATGCAAACATGCTTGTGGCCACGGGAAGATGAGGCACCAGGTTCATTAGGTAACCCGGAGTTGACATGCTGTATTGCCAATTGCTGACAGGCATCACATACGTAATCTTCTTCAGTGATCTAAAATAAGAATTAGAGTTGTATGATGATGTATGATTGATTAGAGTTGTATTATGATGATGTATTATGTTAGTGTAATAAAATAAGTAGGTATGTAAATACGTACTATTATTGAAGAATTCCACTCGCAGATCTTAGAAATTACTCTTGTATCAAGCTCAAAAACGAGATGGTGGCGAAGTTTATCAATGCATATGTTACAATTAACACAAAGCAACCGCACACCTAGTTGTCTTTGTATGATGTTTCTCACAATTATCCAAGATGTGAAAAAATCAGTCCGTAAAACAATACCAAGGTCAAAACAACATAAGGAAATAAGACATAACAATACTGGCGCGAATCGATGATCACAGAGTAAGCGATGACAAATGACGTTCCGTTGTACATATGTAATTGAACAAAACCTTTAACTTAGTACGACCTATATAATTATTTTTATGACAAAAATCCAGTACATAATAAATCAGCATAGTAGTTGATTTGATGTCTACATACTAATTGAATTTAATTAAAATAAACAACTATTCATAAAAACGTGAATAATTATAGTCTTTGAATACCAAGTCCTTTCACACACGAAATGAATCGTCATTAGGTGCGTTCTGAAACCATTATTTGAAATAATTTTGAACAGTTACAAAAATAGAAATAAATGGATAACTTTTTTTTGTGGCTTCTTAGAGAGGTATTTCTTGTGTATTTTAAGACCTTAAACAATAAGGGTATTTTACATAAATATTTCATATTGGGACACTATCATTTCGTTGTCTGGTACGATTTGGCCATCCTCCTTTGATTTCTATATTATTGAGCTGTCTGTGTTAGTCCACCTTTACAAACTTTGTCAAATGTCATTGTTTAGATTATAATATTCAAAATAGAATGTTTTCTTTACAGATGGAACTGTTGAGATATCAAATCAAAAGTTAAATATTGTGTATGATCCACCACATTTACTCAAAAGCCTGCGAAACAACCTACTCGCCAAAGATATGTTATTTAAAGGAAAAGTTGCCACTTGGAACGATATATTAACTGTGTACAATGCTGATTGCCAATTAGGTCATACAAGAATGAACAAAAAGTTGACAGATCACCTCATTTATGCAGAACGAATAAAAAAAATGAAGGTTAGCGTAGCTGCCCAAGCTTTGGGTGAAACAACTAGTGCAATGCTTAAATACACTGCATTATTTAGTAAGTTTTTAAAAACTTTATTATTAATATACACTATCTTAATAA